CTATATTATAAAACTGTGTAAAGCCTATTGGTGTATGAATAAATGAATAAATAAATAAATAAATTTATATAAATAATCCGAGTACTTGGGTCTTTCGACTAAAAATCTATCTTTCTAAAAATATTCTGAATACTTGGATCTTACCAAGGAAATAATCTGAATACAGAGATCATTCCAGAAATAATTTGAATACATGGATTATTCTAAAATTGTACTAAATACTTGGATGTTTCTGAAAATAATCTAAATTCTTGGATTCTTCTAGAAATTATGTGAATACTTCGATTTTTCTAAAAATAATCTAAATATTAGGATCTTTCTAGAAATAGTCAGAGTACTTGGATTTTTCCAAAAATAATCTAAATACTTATATCCCTCTAAAAATAATCAGAATATTTGAATTTTCTAAAAAATATTCCTATTACTTGGATCTTTCTAAGAAAATAATCTAAATACTTGAATCATTCTAAAATTATACTGAATACTTAGATTCTTATAACTCCAGATCAGCCCAAAAATGATCTGAATACTTGCATTATCCCAGAAATAATCATAAATACTTGGATCATTTTAAAAATAATCAGAATATTTGGATCTTTCTAAAAATATTCTGACTACTTGGATATTCCAGAAATAATTTGAATACGTAGATCATTCCAAAGTACTGAATACTTGGGTCTATCTAAAAATAATCTAAATACTTGTATTTGTATATTTCTAGAAACTATTTGAATCATCTTTCCAGCAATAATCTCTTGAAGCTCTTCTTGGATTATTGAAAAAATTTAATTCTTGGAAAAATAATCGGAATATTTAGATCTTTCTAAAGATATTCTGAATACTTGCATATTTCTAAAAAAATAATCTGAATACTTGGATCATTAGAAAAATAATCTATAATTAATTGGAATATTTTTATCTTTCTAAAAATAATCTAAATACTTGGATTTTTCCAGAAATTATTTAAATACTTGAATCTTTCCAGAAATAATCTAAATACTTTGATCATTATAAAAAACATTAGAATATTTGAATATTTCTAAAAATATTCTGATTTCTTGTTTTTTTCTAAAAATAATCTGAATACATTGATCTTTTGAAAAATAATCAGAATATTTGGATCTTTCTAAAAGTATACTGAATATTTGGATCATTTCAAAAATAATCTGCATTGACTATATTTATAGGTCTGAATTATACTTAGATTAGATTTTGAACAGTTTTTGAAAAAAAAAATCATTAATTATGATAGAAAAGGTCCAATATTCAATTAGAAAGTGTAAAGATTCTGTTAAAGAATTAAATTAAATATCATTTAATGTTTTTAATGATTATCCACTGGTTAAATTTGAGATAGTATCAAATAGAATGAATACTAATTAGTCATTAAACCAAAAACATGAAACAAACCGATTGATAAAAGAAGATGCTAAGATGTGTTGAACATTTAAATTATTCATAACTGATTATCCTATATTAACGCAATTCATATGTAAATATATCACTAAATCTCTCCATATCTACTAGTACTAAAATTTTAAGTTTTAAAATGGTGTTTAACAAAACTTGTGTAAAGTGCCAATGTTGTGTCAAAGCTAAGCCCGAAGATAAATTCATAACATTATTACAATATATTTTATAATATTATAGTATAACATAAAGTATTGAGTTTGAAATAAATTTACAAGAAAAAAAAATATTGAAGGAATCTATGTTCTAACTTATTCTAATTGCCTACTCGTTACGACCTCTATGAACATCGCTTCAAAAATTACTTAAGTTTCTTATCTGTATATATACTTCTATGTCTCTATGCTTTTAAATCTATCATCTACAATATATATATATATAGTTATATAATTTCAAGTTATATTTATTTATATTTTTTAATAATATATTTTTTATTATATCGAGTTCTTTGCTCACAGTTTATGCTTGATTGCATTAATTTTAAAAGCAAGTAAAATCCACATAAAACTTCTAAACCAAAAATCCATGACACACGTAATAATCTTAATAATATTATGATTATTATCTATATAGATGATTAAATTAAATGATTAAATTATCAATATTAATTATTCTAATATTCTTGTATAAGTGTATTTATATTTTTTTTTATTTATATAGTAAATATAGCATAGCATATAATTATCAAATTTAGCATTAGGCTGGTCCCCTAAAGTAATTGTGAAGGTATAGAAAATGCAGTGAAACTTTGAGTATTATTTTTTGGAAAATTTAGAAAGTTTTGCACAATAATAAATGACTGATGATAGTGTAAAGTCTCATTAACTGTACTTTTTTTTAAATAGAATTGCATCCATAGACCTTAAATTTTTCTCTACAGAATTTATTTCTGCAAAAAAATTAAATCAAACGCTTGACGCTTCTTTATTTGATAATAATAGAATATAAAAAATAATATACTAAATATTAAAATATTTGAAGAAACTTATCAACAAACAGTAAAAAGTAAGACAAATCAATACAATTGTATTGTATCAAGTATTGTTCATTTATATAGAGCTCTTATTGGTTTTTAATGTAGGGTAATTATTGTTTATTTATATTCAGCCAATATTGGTCTTAAATGGGTTTTTAATATTGTTTAATAATATTAAGCTCATATAGAGTCCATATTGATTTCAATATTGGTTTTATATGGAAAAATGTTATCAGGGCAATATTGATAAACTATATAGGGCCCACATAAAAATAATATTGCGCCAAGATTAATTAATTAATAATTTCTACTCAGAAAAATGTAAAAACTAACAAAAGATATTAATAAAAAATTCGTATAAATTTTCTAAAAGACACAAAAATCACATTAAATTTATTAGAAATGATAATTTGAATTGAAAACTTTCTGAAAAACTATGGGTAATTTTTTTTTTTTTTCATGATCGGGACAGTTCAAAAGTTCTATTTAGTTTCAATTGTTGGTATATTTGTTTCGTAACTTATTTAGATAGTTCTGGATTTTGAATTATTATTAATTTATTTTGAGAAAAACAACTTTTTTTCAAGAAAAATGCTGAGAATCAAGATCTAGATTACCTGGTATATTTGTTTGGTAATTTAATTAACTAGTTCTGAATTTTGAATTCTAGGTGAATTATTTTTAGAAAAACAAACATTTTTTTTGAAAAAATGTTGGAAAAATCAAAACCTAGTTTACCTAACAAAAATTACGGTAACTTAATTAGATAGTTATAAATTTTGAATTGTTATTAGCAAAACAATTTTTTTCTGAAAAATGTTGAGTACCAATTTATCTAGATTATCAAATTCAACTAATAAAATAAATTTTGTAATTATTTAAAATGTTGAGAATATAGGCCTAGATCTCCTGATATATTTGTTTGGTAACTTGATTAGATAGTTCTTTATGAATTGTTGTTAGTAAAACATTTTTTTTTTAAATGTTGATTATCAGTATATCTAGATTATCAAATTTGACTAAACTTGATATTCTATGTTAACTTGGTAATATCTGCAAAAATAAATAAGTAAAAAAAAAATATCAAAACACAATCCGTTTGTCCGAACCTGCAGTCGATTTTATAAGAAATGAATATTTTGATTTGAATTTTTAATAAATAATTTTTCTAGAGTCTATTTTCTGGATATTTATCGCAGTAATCCAGAGTAGTTGGATCTTTCTAAAAAAATTCTGAATGCTTGGATATTTTTAAGGAAATAATCTGAATAAGATCTTTCCAGAAATAATCTAAATACTTCAATCATTCTAAAATTATACTGAATACTTAGAACTTTTTCTAAAAATAATCTAAATACCTGGATTCTTCCAGAAATAATCTAAATACTTGGATCATTCTAATAATAATCAGAATACTTGGATCATTCTAAAAATAATCAGAATACTTAGATCATTCTAAAAATAATCAGAATATTTGGATCTTTCTAAAAATATTCTGAATACTTGGATATTTTTAAGGAAATAATCTGAATACTAAGATTATTTCAGAAATAATTTAAATACTTCAATCATTTTGATAATTAATTATTTTAATGTCTATTTTTGCTGGATATTTATTCCATTTCACATATAAATTATATTTATCTCCAGTGCAAATCTTTCTAAATTTTCTTAAATTTTCCATTATATATAGAATTAGTTTTTCAACAACTACTTATTATATATTCAAAAGATGTTTTTTACGTTTTTATCATATCTAATATAATATAATATTTTTGGTGAAATTCATAGCAAGCCGAGAATGCAGCGTGTTTTAAATTCGACATCTATTATCGATATTATTATTTCTATATTATATTTAGTAATAATTTTTTATTTTTATAATTTTTGTTGAAATGCAATCGCAGTTTTTTCAACTACATTTTCTACCGAATCATTCAGTGGTCTCTTTCCTTAATTATAATAACTTACTAATTTTCAATGCGAAAAAACTAATAATGGACATATATATATATATATATATATATATATATATATATATATACCCATATAGTCATATATGCTATTATTTAGTACTTGCTACATGTCTTAAGTAACACCATTTGTTATTTAAAATTTAAAATAAACATAAAAATTAAAACATACATTTATCCTTAGGGTTTTTGTATTCAAAAAAGCATTTCGACAAGTCTTTACGATAATAAAGGCAAATTTTCACAACGATACGAAAATATAGATTTAGAATACACCTTTTATTGATAATTTTAATTCAAATCAATAATGAATGCTGATGGTGAAAATAATCAAAATGATAAAAAGTTTGGTATATTTAAAATGCTTATGAAAAACCCTTTTATGATTAAAACTGTTTAGTAATTCAATTTATTAATAAAAAATTCTTTCTTTCAGCTGCTATTGAGCTGTATTTGTTTGGGTGAAGTTTCTTCTTGGATACGTACCTTCAGGTATTTTACCTTTATTTGAATATTTATAAATAATATTTAGTGTTCCTGAATTTTCTGAAAACTTTCAGAATTAGTTGTAATTGTGAATGGTTTTATTGTTTTAATAGTTTTCTTTTATTATTATTTTATATCTCATTTTCCTCTCATGGTTCGAATAATGAAACTTCGGCGCTCGTTACATTGGCGCCTCGTTGTTGGCCTCCTTGATTAGGTCCAGCTGGAACAAAATTTTAATTTTAAAATATATTTAAAATTGATATAAAAAATGGACAAAATTTGATATAAAATGAGTTGTTTTTAACGAATTTATGCACACATATATTTGCGCTATATGATATGTAAAGAAGCAATGGCATTGCATGCAGGATTAAACGAACAATTTAGTAAAATCAATTATGCTTAGCTAAGGAATTTGAATACAGGGTGTCCCAGAACTTAACGTCAAGCCAAAACAGGTTATAATATTGACTTTAAGTGTCCTGAAAAAATTAAAAAAGTAGCGGTGCATGGCACTGTGCCTCAAGGTAAATTGCTAAAACTTCTCGAACGGTATTAACATTTTGAAAATTTGAATTATTTTCCATATTAAAAAAAAGTTTATTTTTCTTTTCCCAAAAACGTTTTGAATCATTCAAATCGGATGCTTTTTTCTCTCAAAAACTGCAAATTTGTTCATATTTTGCTCCGTATCTCCAGAACGGCTTGACCTGCCTTTGCCAAAAACTAATAACCACTTCTCCCTGTTATTATGAATTGAATGTTTTTTGGATTTCTATTTTCTGCACTCTTTGCTCTGTAAACTCCAAAACGGCTGGACCGAATTTTGTCAAAAATTAATCAGCACATATGTCAAAATTTGTAATATTAATTAGCACATACCTTTGTTTGATATTTAGTTTAAACATTATTGTCATATAGTAAAACAAAAATTTTATTCATCGAGTTTTCCTTATGTATATTATTTAATACTGTAGTAATTAGTTCCAAGTTTATTAAACAATTTGAAAAATTTGAAAGAATTAAAATAAAAGATGGCAAAATTTTTAAATTGTCATCACTCAAGCAATTATCACTTCCATAAATATTTTTTTTTTCGATTATGAAAGATTTTTCAACTTTCCCTACTAAGGTAAGTTGAAGCAATCGAAAAAAATCGAAAATGAATTTTTTTGCATTTTTTCACATTTCAGAGGTTTCCTAACATTTTGGCATACCTTAGAAAAATGGATATACGTGTGTGTGTATGTGTATGTGTGTGTGGATAAAAATTTTCGTCAACGATTTCAGGAACACAGATCAACCGATTTCAATATTTCAAAAAACATTCGACTCGTATTATTGTGGAGACATGCTAATCTGTTCTTGACAAATTTAGGTCCAGCCGTTTCAAAAACACAAGGCAAAAAGGTCCAAAAATGGTTCAATTCAATTTTTGAGAGAACGAAACGTCCGATTTAAATAATTCAAGACACATTTTACTTGTATTGACGAAATGAACAATTGGAGAATTTTTGTAAAGGCGTCTCCGGAGATTCAATAAGAAAAGTCAAAAATAGTGCCATTTGTCGGTCAAAAATAAACATTAGACATATGTACTTATGTTAATAAGATTACAATAATAAGTACAAAATTTGTGTATATATGGGTTCCGTATCAATGTTTACGCAATAGACGACTACGCGGCGCTTAAGCGCTTTGATATTTCGACTTCAAATCAGCTATGCAGCGCGATTGCTTAACATAAATGGTTGAAATTTAAAAAAAAAATGAAAATACAAAAAAATCAAGATATAAAAGGAACCAAATTTTTCAAAAATTTCAAAATTTCTCAAAAATCCAATTTTACCGAAGTTTTGCAAAGTTTTTTTTTTAATAATTTTGTTTTCACTAGTTTATATTTTCAATTTCCATGGGCAAAAGTCACGTTAATTTCCTCCTCTATGCGCATATTGTGGATTTTATTTACCGTAGTTTATAATTAAAAACGTCGGATTAGTTTTTTAATCTAAACTTTTGTTCTGATTGACATGGCATTTCAGTTATATTGGGAATATATGGACTATGTATAAAATTAGTTATTTTATAAGATAACATCCAAACTTATGCTGTGGGATATTTTAAATTTGCATATTGCAGATATGACATGTCAGTATTTTCATTCGTAATAAAAATAATTTATCATTGGGCGTGACAATGTCATAAGGGAATAAATTCTAATATAATTTACTGCGATGTATATTTATTTGCAAATTATATAAATTATGAAAGCTAATTTTATAGAGTTATTATCTTGTTGAAAGAAAATTTAGATTAATGACTTCAATGATGACGTTTTTTTATTTAGATATTATATTTATACGTTCCATCATCTATTTATTCAGCAAATACACGATGGTTTTTCACATAAATATTTGCAATTTTTAATTTTTATTTTCGATGATTTTTATGAAACTTTGTATAATGACAAAGGTCATGGTCTTAACTAATATCCTTAATTATTATGGTCCTATGAAAAGTAGTTTAACAATTCATTAATGCCTGGAATAATGGGCCACGTCAAAATTTTATTAATCTCAATGTTAGTTGCTTTTTGGCAATTATAATTTCTAAAATACATTTTTTTTACTGATAATTTAATAAACATTATTGTTTATATTCAAATCTTAGATGAATTAATTTGTAAAATCTAATACATATGAGCACTCGTTAAAATGAGATCAACTTGCTAAATATTCCATATTCAATGCCAAACAAATGAATTTTTGACACATGAAAAAAACATCTAAAACATTTTTTTAATAAGTAGAAATATTTGTTGTATTTTTAAATAATTTAGTGAAGTAAACCAAAATGCGACATGCATAAGTTTAAAAAATAATACATGTGCAATTTTTGACTTATTGCGTTATTTATTAAACTGAATTACATAATTTCATCCGCCAAACGTATCCTGTTGACTGTAACTTATATTATTTAAATTTCTGGTACATCTCAGCTGCTTTTCGGCAATAATAATGTTGACATTGCATTTTTCTTATGGGTTATATTCTAATATTATCTAGGCTAATAATTTTAACTAAATTCAAATTGCAAGTGAATTGACAGATGACAGTTCAAATGTTTTCAATGTCAAACAATGATAAGTAGTTTTTTGTAATTTTTGTCATTTAATTCCACAATATCACTATAGTTTTATCGTTCATCAAATCCTAAAAAAATCTTTTGACAAATTCCAAAAAGAATGATCAAAATCCGAATAACCGTTTAGGAGAAGTATCAAATCATACACCCGTACGGAAAAAAATTATAATATATATGTATATATATATATATATATATATATTATAAATTTTTATATGAATAATTTTATATTTATTATAAATGAATATATTAGCTACTCTAAACTACTATTACACAATCGTGACTATTTTATGATACAATTACAGCTTGCATTATTAATATAAAAACCTAATTATAACAGCTTTATAATTAATATGCTATCAAATACTATATATATATATATATATATATATATATATATATATATGCAAGTTGTCCCAGAACTTAAGATCAAGCTGAACGAGTGTGACAATATTGACCTTAACTGTCCGGAAAAACAAATAGAAAAAATCTGTTGTTTGTTGAGAATTATGAGTTTTTAAGTGCAACCTAGAGCTTTGGTAAAACTATGACTACTTTTTGGTTATTGCGGTTAATTTTTATCATTTTTTTTTATTTAAACACAGTAAAGATAATAACACAATTATCCCAAGTTCTCAAGAACTAAGACTTTTTGTTTAACTATTAATTTTTTTTAAGAAAGGGTCCGTCAAAGTCGGCCCATTTTGAAAATTTTAAATTTATAGTTTAACAAAATTCTTAATTCTTAAAAACTTGGAGCAATTATGTTATTATTTTTGACTATGGTCTTCGAAGTGTTATTCACGGTTACGGTTCCAAAGATAAAAATAAACAAAACTGATAAAAATTAACCACAATAACCAAAAACTGGTTATAATTTCTTCAAAGCTCCAAGTTGCATTCAAAAGCTCCTAATTTCCAAATAACGTGAGATAATTTTTTTCTAATATTTTTTGGGACAGTTTATGTCAATACTATCTCCTCGTTTTGCCTAGATGTTAAGTTTTCGGACATCCTGTATAAATACACAAATCATGCAAAAAGACATCACATTCTACAATCGAAGTTTTGCAGAGAAGATATGGAATTTAGTGCAAACATCAAGCGATAGATGTAGAAACGAGAAAATAATAAATTTAATAGTGAGTGATATAAAATTTATGTTCTGAATTAAATTGCTTGTTCCAATAAAAAATTTAATTGAACTGTTTTTATGGAATGAAGGATAATGAAGTTTGTTTTTAATACTTTTGTCCAATTTGTGTATAATAAATGCATTGATTTAATCATATATAATGCATTGATTTAATCATATGATAGATGAGTTAAATTGAACAGGTCAAATATTTAGAAAGAATACCTTAGTGTGGTCCTAAACGTGAACATTTTCGAATTTTTTTGCTCCTAAGAGCTCAAATGCTTCCAAATTAATCAAAAATAAATCTCTAACAGTTTTAGCTCTTAATATTAACATTTATATAGATCGCACTTTAATTGAAAGATTCATATGTTTATTATTGTAAATTCTTGCGCCACCTTTGATAGCATGGCTGTTGGCTGTTTAACGAAATATTTATTTATCATGGCATCGAAATTAATTTTGCAGCAACGTATTTTGACACTCAAATTATAAGTACTAAATTGCAATCAAAACTACAAGTGCTAAAAGTCTGCTTTCACAGATGGCGCAAGAATGTACTTAATTACATATGTTAGTAATAAATAAATAAAACTTTCAGTTGAAGTGCGGATTATCTAAATGTTTATATTAAGTAAGTATTATTAAGTAAGTATTAAGCAAGTTATAGTAATCGCAAAAAAATCAAAAATAAAAATTTTTGCATTTCTCGACGTTTCAAAGGTTTCTGAATATTTTGGCATACTTCAGAAAAAATGGATGTATGTGTGTGTGTATGTGTGTGTGTGTGCGTGTGTGTATGTATGTGCGGATACAAATTTTCGTCGACGATTTCGGGAACACCGATCAACCGATTTGAATAATTCAAAAAACATTCGATTCGTATTGAATGTTAAAAAAGTAAAAAAAAAATGCCATTTGGCGGTCAAAAATGATCA